GATTACTCGCGGTTTACTCGAGATTAGGGATTACATTTATTTATCATTTGGAGGGAGGACAAGGGAAAGCATTTTGAACTAATTTAAAACTTAAACGTAAAGGATGACTAAAACACAGAACATTAAACACATACATCAACAGCTTTAAGAAAGTCGTAAATAAGCTTCATAAAGTCGATATCACGGCAAGCCAAGACGTCTCTAATTGGCTTAAAGGGTTGTTTTCCTCGGACCCTAAAGGCCCACGCACATTAGATCTGGATCGGACGCGTTGCGGCAAAGTGACAGCTAAATCTATTGTCTAACTGTCAAATTTACGTCAACGCAACGCAAACGGATCTAATGTGGGTGGCCCTTAAGGGAATCACACAGAACGGATCTCGTCTCATGATGCAAGGAGCAGGACCAAACAACATGCTCGATGTCGTGATAACCGTTTCCACAGGTACATAAGTTGCTGTCGGCGAGCGTGATACGGAAGAGGTGGGCGTTTAACGAACAGTGATTGGACATGAGCCTGGACATTACACGAATAAAATCACGACTCATATCGAACCCTTTGAACCAGGGTTTGATCGACACCTGTGGGACAATAGAATGTAGCCATCTTCCCAGATCACCATCATTCCACTTTTGTTGCCTGTTGGCGAGGACTTGCTGACGAGAAATCGTGAAAAATTCGTGGTAGGCGATTTGTCGCTCGTAAATATCGCCTTCCATAGCGCCCACCTTGGCCAGCGAGTCCGCTTTCTCATTGCCCGGGATAGAGCAATGAGAAGGGACCCAAACCAAGGTGATGATATGCGAGCTGTTTGATAAAGCACTCAATGACGATCGTATTTCCTGGAGGAAATACGCTGAGTGCTTTATCGGCCTCATTGAACGCATAGCCTCCAGAGAGCTTAGGCTATCCGTAAAAATGAAATAATGGTCACGTGGAAGTGAGGCAATACGCTCTAACGTATACGATATAGCTGCTAATTCAGCAACGTATACCGAACAAAGCTTTTGAAGCTTGCATGAGGCGCGCTATGAAGATCGTGGAATACTCCAAAACCAGTGGACGCATTTATCACCGACCCATCTGTGAAAAATCTCTTCTCGGTGGGGACGTGGCGGTATTTGTTCGCAAAAATAGTTGGGACAATCAGGGAACGATGAGGCTCTGGAATTCCTTGAATCTCCTGCCTCATTGTGAGATCGAATCTCACGGAGGAACAACTGAAATGATGGGAGACAGCGCGATTGGGGTTGAACGAGGAGGGGCCAATGTCCAGAGTCATGCCCCCTTATTCTGCGAGTCACGTGACTCTCTCTCACCGGTGAGGTGACTATTGTCACCTCACCGGTGAGAGAGAGTCACGTGACTCGCAGAATAGGGGGGATGTACTCGTAGTGCAAGCTCATGAATCGTGTTTGAGGATTCCGCTCTAGCAGCTTCTCAAAGTTTTCGATCACCAGCGGGCTCATGACTTCACAGCGGATGAGGAACCGGAAGGATAAATCTGCAAAACGATTTGTTAAGGGGAGGACGCCCGCAAGCACTTCAAGACTCATGGTATGCGTCGATTTCATACAACCTAGCGCGATTCGAATGCAACGATATTGAATCCTTTGGAGCTTCAATATGTGCGTTCCCGCCGCCGATTGAAATCAAAAGCTACCGTACTCCAAAATCGAGAGAATGGTGGTCTTGTAGAGTCTTATCAGATCTTCCGGATGGGCTCCCCATGAAGTGCCGGTAATGGAACGAAGGAAATTGATTCGCTGTTGGCATCTCTGCCCCAGATACGCTATGTGTTTTCCCCAAGTGCACTTGGAATCGAACCAGACACCTAAATACTTAAACGACATGCTGTGAGTGATTGTTCTACCCATAAGTTGAAGCTGAAACTGTGCTGGACAAAGCTTCCTAGAAAAAAACAACCATCTCTGTTTTCTCCGGAGAGAATTCGATACCCAGATTCATTGCCAAGTAGACAAATTATCCAAGGTATCTTGCAATGGTCCTTGCAGGTCCGGTGCTGTTGGTCCAACCATGGAAACCACGCCGTCATCTGCAAGCTGCCTTAGCGTGCAATTTTCGGCCAGACATTCATCAATGTCTTTGACATAGAAATTGTACAGGAGGGACTTAAACATGACCCTTGTGGAAGACCCATGTAGCTGATTCGTGCAATTTCCGAGTTGCCATGAGAGAAGCTCATTCGTTTCTCGGACAACAAATTAAACAGGAAATTGTTGATAATCGGAGAAGACCCACTCGCATGGAGTTTGTCCGAAAGGATGTCGATTAATGTCCAAGAAAACGGAACCCATCTGCTGTTTTTTCAGCATAGGCTGATTGGATTTCAGTTGAAAGCAACGCAAGGCAGTCGTTCGTCCCTTTGCCCCTACGGAATCCAAATTGCGTATCTGAGAGTAAGCCATTCGCCTCGACCCACTTGTCCAGACGAAGAAGAATCATTTGTTCTAACAGCTTCCGAATACACGACAGCATCGCGATGGGACGGTACGAATTATGATCCGACGCGGGTTTACCGGGTATCTGGATGACGATAACTCTTACTTGTCTCCAATCATCCGGAACAACGTTGAGCTCAAGGAATCGATTGAACAAGTTCAACAATCGCCTCTTTATGACTTCTGGGAGGTTCTTGAGCAGGTTGAACTTGATTCGATCAATTCCCGGAGCCGAGTTATTGCATGAAAGAAGAGCAATTGAGAAATCTACCATCGAAAACGGGGAGTCCATGTCATCGTTTTCCAGCGGCGGATCGCGAGTGTTGCGTCGAACCGGAACTGAATCGGGACAAACCTTACGCGCGAAGTCGAAAATCCACTTGTTAGAGTACTCCTTGTCCTCGTTGACCGACGATGCCGCGTTACGCATTCTCCTGCCGACATTCCAGAGCGTTTGCATGGAAGTCTCTCGCGATAGCCCTTCGACGAACCGACGCCAGTAACCGCGGTTTTTGGCCCTGACCAAGCTCTTAAACTTTTCCTCTAGCTCCGTATACCGCTCAAAGTATTCGCGGGAACCGTATTTACGAAACTGTTTAAACGCGGTAGACTTCTCGTTATTCACGTCGGTGCATTCCTGGTCCCACCACACAGTGGGAGGACGTTTGCGAATGGTAGTGCCAGGAACAGGCTTCGTTTGTGCTTGAAGCGCGCAATCCAATATGAGCCGCGATAGGAAGGAGTACTCATCCAACGGAGAGAGAACGTCGACCGATTCTGAACCGTCACGGACCGCGTTCGCCTATTCTTCCCAATTGATTTTTCTCGTGAGATCGTACGCGATGTTGATTGGACACTGTGAAGATGAACCGTTGGAAATCGAAATTTTGATGGGCAAATGATCACTACCATAGGGGTCTTGGATTACCTCCCACATGCAATCCAATGATAGTATGTTCGAACAGAGTGATCCAAACAATCTAACACCACAGACAAACAGACATAACGCTCGCAAGTTATTCATCAAACAAGCATTTAACGGACAATTTAAAACTATCGTAGTTGGTAGTGCCGCCACCTGTGGCGCTCATAGTCATTTCCCTTTCGTTTGACGTTTACACACTACCGTCATCTGTTCAGCGTAGTTCCCACCACAGTGTACTCAAGAGATGGCGGTGATGTTTTGGCGACTATGTTTTACAGTGAGAATTATTCAATGGGTTATGTCTGTTTGTCGGTGCTAACACCATCATCTGATAGAGCAAACTTCCTTTATCGAGTTGTTAGAATTTTAGTTTACGTGGTAGTGGTAGTTTTAATTCTTGAGAATTTTGTGTTCAAAGTCATTGCTTACGTTGGGTTGTTCCGCCTATTTCAATTGTTGGTCCAGAAAGATTTCCAAGCTACCGTGTGTGCAGCGAGGGTAGCGAATTGAATGAATGAACGTGTTATAAGGCAACAGGAGAACACGAAAACATCACCAAGGGATAATACGGAGTAATTAGTGCTTTTACTAGTTTTTCCCTCGTACATTCTAAGTGAGATATATATTTTCGTTTATCCACTCATAAAGCACTTAGCGGGAAAAACGATCAAAGATTTTTTTGTGACTGAGTTTGAGTAACCCAAAAAGTGGTCTCCAAGTTAAACAAATAAAACATCAATCTCTCAAAATGTTACGTTCTCTGGGAATGGTCCTATAGTCCATAGAATGTATTGTTATGTATCATATTATTGAATGTAAGAACCGTGCATCAATCAAAGGTCGTGCGTGCTCTCTCCGAATGCATAACGAAGCTCTATATTTACGGCCGATGTAAATCACACCTCACTCAAGAACGAACCCCGCATCACTCATCGTAATGCGTGTTTGTAGAAGTCCAGCTTAAGCATCAATCTGAACTCGAACTCTTTTGCGCTCTTTGGATTTGACATCATTGCTCTTAATATGTGAGGGATGAACTAGCTCACGATGAATAAGCATCTATACGGAGTTTATGCAAGCCTGGGTGACTCTCCGTGCAAATCAAATGGAGAGTCACCTCAGTCGCGGTAACTTTAGTCACCTCACTCACGGCGCAGAATAGGCCTCAATATGTCTTGCTGCAATCAGAAACGAGGAAGATGTGGCGGATTGACCACGTGCACCAACCCATTCGTTGACGTTAATCCACATTTGTTTTTGTATCGACCGTGGACCGTTAGTAGACACCTTCTGTAGATTATTTGGCAAATCACCACTTCATGGAGAAAACACTCCGTTCAGTCAACGGCTGCTGATCAGATTATCTCGGCAGGGCTTTCGAAGCTTCCAAAAATAACACCACATCTTTTTTTTATCTGTTCCAACAAAAGCGTTCGGTCGGATGATGATGACGACGACGACGACGAGAAAAGCGCTCCCAAACCCTTCCTCACTCTACGCTGTGCCTCACTTTCTCTCTCGCTCTCGTTCGTTCGTAGTTCACTCACATCGCAAGCCAAACTTTGCCATTTCTTATTTCCGAATGTTCTGTGTGTTTTTTTTTTTGTTTCACTCTCTTAGCTTCATATTCGTTTTCTTCTTGTTCCACAATTGTTTTGCTTTTTGTTACATGATTAATGGTCTTCTTTTTTTCATTAAAAAAAAAAGGAAAAGCTGGAGAAAGATTCCGCCGCCATCGCGGCTCTTTCAGAACTTTCCAGAATTGTGTTTGTGTTTGTGTGTGTGTGTGTGTATGTGTAAGTCTGTGTTTGGATGGGTGGTATGATACCATCGCCATCCGGCGGAGATGACCCCTGCCAATTAAAGCAAATACTTTCAATAATCTATGTTCATAATAATAAAGAATGCAACAAGTTGGTATGTGTGTACCATTTTAAGTTTGTGTAAGTCTGTCGTTTGTTTGTTTACTATCTGTGGGGCTTCATGATTTGCTTGTTTCATTGTAACTTTTGTTTATGTGTTTTGATTTCATTTCTCCCACTGAGGGTCACTGATTTTCGCACTGTTTTCCGATAAAGGACTAATCAATAAAACTGATGATGACGATGATGATGATGATGATGTTGATGTTGATGGCGTTGCGATATTAACTCTCTGCTCACTGCTGCTGTGGCTGCTTTTGTTGTTACTGGATGATAAAGATGATCAAATTTAAGACTAAACTATCAATTAATTGATAATAATCGTAATCGTTTCGGCTGTTGTTGTTGCTGCTGCTGCTGCTGCTGTTGCTCCTTCATGCCTTTCCTTTCTTCCTATTTTTTTTTGTGTTTGTTTTTTAAACATTTTACATCTATCACACATCCATCCGTCCGTCATGCACACTTTTCTAATCGTGTCCCCATTCATACATGCATCCATACACGATTTACATGCGCCGCTGCTGTGTTTATTTTTGTTGTTGCTGCTGCTGCTGCTGCTGCACTCGTCTTCTTATCTCAATTTTCTGTGTGTGTGTTTTTTTAGTCCTGCATTTATTTTTTGTTGATTTTCTTGTTTTTTTTTTATCTTTTGCTCTGCTTGCTACTTTTCGTTTAATTAAGGATAATTCTGTAATAATAATTGTTTTTTTTTCTTTGCCTTCCTTGCTTCTCCTTTATGCTGCTGTTTATGTGTGAGTTCTCCGTTTGTTTGTATTTGTTTCTCCTCTATTTATGGTATATTATAAAAAGCTTTCACATTGTTTGTTGTTGTGTTTTAATTTCATAACTTCTCCTCTCTTGTATCATTTCTATTCGAAATATACCACCATGATTCTATTTGCTATATTACGCTTCTCGAATTCAACTCTCTGCATTTTCCTGCGCTCAATACTAATCTGCGTACCACTTTCGGCCTCTCATACCCATCATCGATCGTATTGTTCGCTGACGCTCTGCCACTCTTGATCAGTTTCTTGCATCTCTTCTCTTCCCTTTTTTTTTGTTTGTTTCAGCCTAAACATTTATAATTGATTATTACTACTACGCTTACTATTAGCTAAAACTTATCCTGAAATATAAATAGATTATTGGTAGCGGCGACGGCGATGATGTTCTCGAGGGGGTGCCAGGCGGTGTGCAGGATCTTCTTGTTGAAGTCCAAACAGTCGACGCTGATTTCGTCCTTTTTCCGCTTGCCCCCGGTGCAGACCTTGCGCGGCTTCAGGACCGTCTTCGGCTTGATGATGTCCCGGGACGCTTCCAGCGTGACGTCCTTCTTGCTGTTGCGGTCGAACACGCGGAAGAAGTTGTTGTAGCTGCCGGTCATGATCGAACTGTCGTTGCCGTTCCAGCAGCACTCGAACTTGTCGAAGATGCAGTCGTTCTCGTACAGTGAGCACAGCTTCGTGCGGAGGTATTCGTGCACCTGGAAGGGGAGAGGCGATAAGAAGCATTAGCGAATCAGTATGCAAATTTGGACCGTGTTGGAGGACATCCAAAAGATTTTTTTCTCATTTCAATACATACAGGGAATCTGGTTCCAACTAGACCGTTTGAAGGGACGGAGATAACCATCGACTTAATATAAAACGTAGACACATATCGAGATATGGAGAGTTGAGTGTACTTCTGTCCGGTACTGTACAGTCTTCTAGAACTACTCCAGAACTTTCTGAACCTCCACAAAATTATACTGCTTTGAGATTCCTTAACAGTTGGAGTCAGATTATCAATTATCTACCTAAATAATGATAACATCATTACCGCTTCCGGTTTTCCAAATTCCAATATGGCTACTTCCGGTTTGTGGAACACTGCCAAATACTCTACAATATGGGTATTTTCTGAACGGAACCGATATGCAGAGGCCAACAATCGAAATCCGGTTTTCTAAACTCCAAGATAACGACTCCTGATTCGTGGGAAACTGTCAAACATCCAACAATATGGATATTTACAGAACGGGGACGACGTGTAGAGGCCGGAAATCGATGTTTGACGCCGTTTTGGAATCCAAGATGGCGACATCCGGTTTTCTACAACCCAAGATTATTTTTCTACAACCCAAGGTTATTTTCGAAACGAGGACAACGAGTAGGGGCCGGAAATCGATGTTTGACGTCATTCTGGAATCCAAAAAGGCGACTTTCAATGTAAAATACCGATTTAATTTAATGTTTTGAAAACTGGAACGATGTGTAGAGGCAGCAAATCAACGTTTGACATCATTTTGAGATTCAAAATGGCGACTTCCGGTTTGTGAGCTACTGTCAAGTACTCTCAGTACTCTACAATATGGGTATTTTTGGAACGGGGACGATGTTCAGAGACCAGAAATTGATGTTTGATGCCGTTTTTGAGTCCAATATGGCGACTTTCAGTTTTCTAAAATCCAAACTGTTGATTTGTGGAAAACTGTCACCCAACAATATGAACGAGACGATATGTAGAAGCCGATGTTTGACGCCATTTTGGAATCCAAGATGACGGCATCCGGTTTTCTAAAATCCTAGCTAACTGTCAAATGTCCTTCAATATGGTTTTATGATTTTGGGATTCAAGATGGCTACTTCCGGTTTGTGGGAAACTGCCAAATACTCTACAATATGGGTGTTTTTTGAAACGGGGACGATGTGAAGAGGCTGGAAATCGACGTTTGATGTCATTTTTTAATCCAATTTGGCAACTTCCGTTTTTCTAAAATCCAAGATAACGACTTCTGATTTGTGGAAAACTGTCAAACACCCAACAATATGGATATTTACAGAACGGGGACGACGAACGTGTAGAGGTCGGAAATCGAATTCAAGTGAAAAACTTTCAAATACCGACCAATACAAATGATTTCGGAACAGGGACGATGTGCAGAGACCGGAAATCGATGTTTGATGCCACTTTGCAATTCAAGATGGCGACTTCCGGTTTGTGGAAAACTGTCAACTACCCTAAAATATGGTATTTTTGGTACGGGAACGACGAGTAAAGGGCGGAAATCGATGTTTGATGCCATTTTAAGGTCCAAGATAACGGCTTCCGGATGTAAGGATGTGTCAAATACCCAACAATATGAGTATTTTTTAAATGGAGACGACGTGTAGAAGCCGGAAATATGTTTAATGTCATTCTGGAATCCAAGATGGCGACTTCCAGTTTGCGTAAAACTGTCAAATATTCTCCAATATGTGAAACTGGAACGAGAGTAAAGGTCGGAAATTGATTTTTGACGCCATTTTGAAATCCAAGATGGCGACATCCACTTTGAAAAATTGTCAAATACCCAACAATATGGGTATGTTTGGAACAGGGCCGACGTTCTCAGGCCGATAAACTATGTTAGATGCATTTTTATTCATCACAAATGGCGACTTCCAGGTTTTACTAAACTGGCAATATGGATATTTTTAAACCTAACAATAAGGATAGTTTTAGAACGACAACGACGTGTTGAGGCCGGAAACCAAAATGGCAACTTCTGGCTCTTAACAACTGTTAAGTACCCCACAATAAGGGGAATTTTTTGGAACTGAGATGATGTGTAGAGGTCGGAAATCTTCGAATGACTTCATTTTGCATTCCAATATGGCAACTTCCGGTTCTAGCAAAATTTCCAAAAAAATACGAAATGTCCAGAAAATTTGACGGAAATTCAGGGAAGCTCCGAGAACATCAATGAAGTGCCGAGAACTTCTTGATCGTTCTGAAATTTTCAGAAAAATTCCGAGAACTTTACTACCCTATGCGACACAACAATTTCATTAGCATTTTTGGCGAAAATGAGTTATACATTGGAATCGATTGTCAAAGTAACATCGCTTTTCAATTGTACACGAAAATTGTCGTATTTTGTTCAGAAAATGTCGCGAAAAATACCAAAATTAGGTTGTCCCATCTATAAGAGTCCACGGAGAAAACAATCTTCAACTGCGATTCTCAGCTTACTGTTTTAACGAAAGGGACAACTATGCTGAAAAAGGCAGTTTAAGAAAGAAGGAATTTCCAAAAGAAATGCTGAAAACTTCATTAAAATTTAGAATACATCATGGTCTAGGAGATTTAGGGGAGTTCCGAGAACTTCAGTAAAATTTCGAAACTGTAGGTTAGAATTTCACCAAATACAATTTCCTTCTGAGAACTGACATAAAGTTCTCGGAACTAAGTTCCCGTAATTTTTGAAAAGTATTCGTTGCTCTCTAGAAAACTCATAAGTTCTTGAAATTCGTATTTGAACACACTAAGAGTTCCTTGAACGTCCGTGAAGTTCTCGGAAATGTCCGTAACTTACCTCAAGTTTCCATAACAGTCCTCAAATATACGGAACTTTCCTGAAGCTCACGGAACTTTTCATATTTGTTCAGTGCTTCCCTGAAAGTCTAGGAATAGTTAAAGAATTCTCGAAACTTCCCTGAAAGTCTAGGAATAGTAAAAGAATTCTCGGACCATCCCAAAAATATTCGAAATTCGCAGAAAAAACTAGAAATTTCAGAGCTTCCCGGAAATTCCGATTTTTTTTTTAATTCGAGAACTTTCTTGAAGATCTGAGAATTTCCCACAAATTCATAGAATGATTCATAGATCATAGAACTTTCATAAAATTCCTTAAATTTCCCTAAAATTCCGAGAAATTCTCAGAATTTCCGAAAGCTCCCAAATCTTCCGAGAACTTCTATCAAATCTTAATATTCTTGGATTTTTTTAGAAGGTCTTGGATTGTCTGGGAAGTTGACAATCCGAGAACTTCTTAAATATTCCAAAAATAGTAGAGAGTTTTTCAAAAGCTTCGGTAACTAATCAGAAGTTCTGGGACTTGCCATAAATTTCTAGAACTTCACAGAAAATCCAACCACTTCCCAGAAGTTTTGTGTACTTCTCTCACAAATTCTGAGCACTACTAGATCTAGGATCTTCTAGATCTAGGAACGTCCCTTAAATTCCGAAAGTTTCCCAGAATACCCGCGAACTTCCCAGAAAATCCGAAAACTTCCCAGAAATTACTAGATATTTCCAAAAAATCCAAGAATTTCCCATAAAATTTTAGAACTTCTGAGAAATTCCAAAAACTTCTAGAAGATCCGAGTATTTCCCATAAATTCGGACAGCTTTCCAGAATTTTCGAGTGTTTCTCGGAAGATCTTCCAAAAAAAATCCAACAACTTCCCAGCAGTTGTGTGTACTTCTCTCACAAATTTCGAGTACTACTAGATCTCAAACTTCCTAGCAGGTTCGAGAATTTCCCAGAAATTACTAGAACTTTCTCAAAAATCCTAGAACTTCTCAAAAATTATGTAAATATTAGAGAGATTTTCAGAAGTTTCGGTAGCTACTCAGAAGTTCTGGGAACTGCACTGAAGTTCCGGAGACTTCCCATAAATTTCTAGAACTTCACAGAGGATCCAACAACTTTTCATCAGGTCTGTGTGCTTCTCTCGCAAGTTCCGAGTACTTCTAAATCTAGATCTTCTAGATCTCGGAACGTCTCATAAATTTCGAGAGTTTCCAGAAGACTCTCGAACTTCCCAGAAATTACTAGCACTTTTCAAAATATCCGAAAATTTCTCAGAATTTTTCAGCAATTTCAAAAGTTTCTAGAAGATCCAAGTACATCTCAGAAATTCTGATAGCTTTCCAGAATATTCGAAAGCTTCCCATAAGTTCCGAGAATTTCTCAGAAGATCTTCCCTAAAAATCCAACAACTTCCCAGAAGTTCTGTGTACTTCTCTCGCAAATCTCGAGTACTACTAGATCTAGATCTTCTCGATTTCGGAACGTCCCATCAATTCCGAGTTTTCCAGAAGACCCTCGAACTTTCTAGCAGCTGCGAGAATTTCCCAGAAATTACTAGAACTTTCCCAGAAATTACTAGAACTTTCCCAAAAATCCGAGAATTTTCCAGAAGATCTCAGAACTTCCCAGAAAATCCTAGAACTTCTCATAAATTCTAAAAATATTAGAGAGCTTATTAGAAGTTCCAGCAACTACTCAGAAGTTCTGGGAACTGCACTGAAGTTCCGGGGACTTCCCATAAATTTCGAGAACTTCACAGAAGATCCTATAACTTTCTAGAACTGCTTCTCTCACAAATTCCGTGTACTTCTAGACCTAGTTCTTGGAAAGCCCCTAAGTTTTAAGAGTTTCCCAGAAGACCCTTGAACTTCCTAGCAAACCCTCGAACTTCCCAGAAATTACTATAACTTTTCAAAATATCCGAGACTTTCTCAGAAGCTCTCAGAACTTCTCAGTAATTTCAAAAGCTTCTAGAAGATCCAAGTACATCCCAGAAATTCTGATAGCTTTTCAGAATATTCGAAAGCTTCCCATAAGTTCCGAGAATTTCTTAGAAGATCTTCCCAACAAAATCCAACAACTTCACAGAAGTTCTGTGTACCTCTCTCGCAAATTTCAAGTACTACTAGATCTAGATCTTCAAG